ACCCTTCAATCAGTTGCTTGATTGCTGATACCTTCCACACCTGGCCAGCAACCATAGCCAACAAGTATAACCTTGTCCACATTTCCTTCTGGACTGAAACAGCTTTTGTCTTGTGCATCTACTATCACATGGACCTCCTCAGAAAAAATGGTCATTTTGGTTCTCATGGTAAGTAATAACCTTCTCATATCCAACATGTTATGCTATCAGATTGTTGATACAAAAGACGAGAAGATTTTTCTTTATGTATACCTGATTTTTCTGGTTGATTTATTAGATAATCGCGAGGACATGATCGATTACATACCTGGTGTGCAGGCTATTGAACCAAAGGACTTGGTATCACACCTCCAAGCTACTAATACATCAACAGCAGCTCACAGAATCCTATACAAGGCCTTCCAACAAGTTACAAATGCAAATTTTATTTTGTGTAACACAGTGCAAGAACTCGAATCCCAGTCCCTTCTAGCCTTGCAAGAGAAGCAACCCACATATGCAATTGGCCCTGTCTTCCCCAATAAAGCTACCAAGAGTGTGGTGGTGGCAACCAACCTCATCTCCGAGTTTGACTGTACAGAATGGCTCAATGCCAAGCCTCCTGGTTCAGTTCTGTATATTTCATTTGGAAGCTACGCTCAAGTTACTAAGAATGTGGTAGAAGAAATAGCTCATGGGCTTTTGCTTAGTAGAGTGAGTTTCATTTGGGTGCTACGCCCTGATACTATAAGTCATGGTGAACTTGAAACCTCGATCCTACCCATTGGATTTGAAGATGAGATTAAAGATAGAGGGCTGATTGTGCCATGGTGCTCTCAGATTGAGGTGCTTTCAAATCCAGCAATAGGAGGGTTCTTGACTCATTGTGGATGGAATTCCATACTGGAAAGTATGTGGTGTGGTGTTCCAATGTTGTGTTTTCCTATGTTGACTGACCAAACCACCAATAGGAAACTTGTAGTTGATGATTGGGGGATTGGACTCAATCTTTGTGATAGGATTAAACCGATTACAAGGATGGAGGTAGCAGAGAAGATCAACCGTCTGATGAGTGGAAGGTTGGGTGATGGATTGCAGAAGGAGATCAAGAAGATGAGGCAAAAATTGGAGGATGGGTTGGCTGTAAATGGGTCATCACAGAAGAACTTATGTCAATTCATTAGTGATGTAAAGGCCAAAATTCAAACATGAACTGATTTTTCACATTGCCACTGCCACGAAGTAGTTCTGCTTCATCATCTCATTAAAGATTTTTTTTTGGTCACACATCTCATTAAAGATTGGTTCTTATTAATGCAGCAACATGGCATGGAAGTTTCCATTGTAATTCTAGTGCCAAACTTTTCAGTTGTAACTTGCTAAACTTTTGCCAAATAAAACGTGTACGTTTCTTTCTTCCAA